CAAGGGAAACCAGGGTACTGGCAGAACAGCTGTGCAGCCAAACCAACAAACCATGCCGAACTGCTGAACTGGAGTTTGTGCCTGTGAGCGGCCCCAGCCGCTGTATCCATGATGAGGCAGCAGGTGCTGGTGATCATTTAAGCTTTATTGGACTCAGCATACAAAGCAAAGCAAAGCAAAACAGTGTCCTTTGCAGGATGGGGCCTCTAGCCCCAAGCAGCAGGGATGGAACTGGTAGCTTTCTATCCTTCCAGTCCTTCCAGGGCTGATAGAGAATATTCTGTCCCAGCCCCCAGCTCTGAGGGAGTTACTTCACTCCCATGGCAGCTTGTCTTGGCTGAAATAGTCTTTGCCAGCTGAGTCCCCCAACACAGCATCCAGCTAGCAGAGGAGGCTGTGCAGCACCGGCTGACCCTGGGAGCTTCTAACTTTCAGCCTTCAACTTGCCTTCAGATAAGCCGGCCGTCCTCCACAGAGGCAGGCCTCTTAGAAGCTCCTTTCAGCATCTCCCCTGGCAGACTATTTTCTGTCTTCTCTGAAGGTGACGGAAACTCCCAAGCATCCTCCCAAATATCCAGTTCCTCCTCCCCCTCTCCTTGTTCACTCACCTCTATATCTACCTCAGCTACAGCTACCGCTGTTTCTCTGGGGGTGGGCGTAGGGCCTCCACCCTCATCTGCCTCAGGTGTTTCCTTCAAGGCCAGCAACCCTTCTGCCGTTGCTGAGGGGGGCTGCCCACGCTGGCACTTAGCTCCTCCCCTTTCCCCCGCTGTAGCTGGCTCAAAGTGCCCATTTCAATTTGCTCGTATCAACAGATCCCATCCTTTGCTCTATCACACTTCTTTGCTGACTTTGTCATGCATCCTAATATTGGCATTGCCATTAAGAGTGCTGTATCAATACCCTCCTCTACCCTGCAATAGTTACTTCTGACTTTGCCACTGCTATGCTCTGTGATTGGCCACCCTGGCCCATGTGCTCACCTGTATACTTGCAGCACTAAATTCTTCAGTGCAGTTCCTAGTTAAGTGAATGGGAGAAACTCAAAAGCAAATCTCTCTTCTACTCACTTTCTACAGATTTAGAACCAGGCATTTCAAAACACATATTCTTACAAATTCAAGAGACAAACTGGAATCTTAAGTCCATATGCAAACTGACTAATTAAGGCCAAATATGTTCCTTTCCAAGCCACCTTGAGTACACGCTCAACTTGTTAGGATCTAGCATCGATGTAAATACTGTTAAATACCAAGCAGACACAGCACATATACTTCCACAGCAACACCAAGTATGAACACTAGAACTAGCAGTATTTCAAATCGTTATTTTCAAAAAGTTATTTTTCTTCCCACTTTGTCTGCTCAATATCAACTTCTAAGTTTTCAGCTGTCTACATTTTTTAAAAAAGAATGTCCTCTCCTTCCATAGTTACAAGGAAATTGCACTACACGGCCACTGACTGGAAAGTTACAAGTGAAAAAACATTAGTCCTATTCTAAGTCCTCAATATTTGTTAGTAACCATTTTAGTTAAACTCTAAAAGTAAGGTTTTCCTTTTTTCTAATTATCACAAGTAACTAAATGTTGATTTTTTACTTCCTTTAAAAAAAAACACATCAAAGTACTATAAGCTGCTGGCTGTGGTACAAACTATTTTCCTCCAGTCAATTTCACTGTCACCTCAATGCTCACAAGAAAGCATGAAGCAGCACCATGAAGCTCAGCAAGAGACAACATTTAAGCATCTCATTTATTTATTTATTTATTTATTTATTTATTTATTTATTTATTTATTTATTTATTTATTTATTTAGTTATTTAGTTAGTTAGTTAGTTAGTTAGCTAGTTAGTTGCTTACTTACTTACTTACTTACTTATTCGATTTTTACCCTGCCCCTCTAGACATTGTCTACTCAGGGTGGCTAACATAGAAAAAAACACTTCAAATTGACACATATAAAAATACAATAATAACAATTAATTAAAAAACAGCACGTTTCCAAGATGGCATTGCTCAACAAAAGAAAAGAAAAGAAAAGTAAGGGAAAGGGAAAAAAACCCACTTAATTGACTGGAGGGAAGGCCTATTTAAATAACCAAGTTTTCAACTGGTTTTTGAAAACACCCAGCGCGGGTGCCAGCCGAATTTCAGTAGGGAGAGTGTTCCACAGCCGAGGGACCACCGCTGAGAAGGCCCGGTTTCTTGTTTTTTCTTTCTGGGCCTCTCTCGGCATCAAGCCCCTCAGCCGTCCCTGCTGACTGTGTCGGGTGATTCGGGTAGAATCTGGGTGGGAGAAGACGATCTGCTAAATATTGAGGTCTCAAACCATTTAGGGCTTTATATGTAATCATTAACACTTTGAAGTCGGTGTGGAAATGGATGGGCAATCAGTGCAAGGCCACCAGAGTGGGGGAGATATGTTGATATTTTCTCACCCCACTAAGAAGCCTGGCTGCCGCATTCTGGATCACCTGAAGTTTCCGCATCAGCCTCAAAGGCAGCCCCACGTAGAGTGCATTACAATGGTCTAATCTTGAGATTACGAGCACATGGACTATAGTAGTGAGGGCCCCCCCATCAAGATATAGTCGCAGCTGGGCAATCCGCCGTTGATGGAAATAGGCATAGCAGACCACGGACATCACCTGGGTTTCCATGGTAAGCGCCAGGTCCAGATGTATCTCCAAGCTGTGGACCTCACTCTTTGCGGCAAGGGTCGTCCCCCCAAAAGAAAGGGAGTCACCTATACCGCTAATGGAAGGGCCACCCACCCTCAAGACCTCTGTCTTGTCCAGGTTCAGCCTCAATCCATTCGACTGCATCCATTCCAGTACAGACTCCAGGCAGCGCTGAAGGGACAGGACGGCATCCACTGAGGTAGGTGAAAAGGAGATGTAGAGCTGTGTGTCATCAGCGTACTGGTGACACAATGCCCCACACCCCCTGATGACCCCACCCAGCGGCCTCATGTAGATGTTAAACAGCATTGGGGAGATGATCGACCCCTGTGGAACTCCAAAATTGAGATTCCACGGGGCTGAGACACTCTCTCCAAGCTGCACTCTCTGGGGGCGGTCCTCCAGGAAGGAACAGAGCCAGGCAAGTGCCAGACCACCGATTCCCAACTCGGAGAGCCTCCCCAGGAGGATACCGTGGTCAACGGTATCAAAGGCAGCTGAGATATCGAGGAGGACCAACATTAACTGTGGGTCTTAATGACGGCAATTTTAATTGTATTTTAATTGTATTTTAATTGTATTTTAATCATTTTATTTTATTGCATTGAATTTTAATTGCTGTAAGCCGCCCAGAGACCTTTGGGTAGAGTGGGCGGCATATAAATTAAATAAATAAATAAATATAAATAAACGACATATTGCCCCCATTGGCCTCCCTCAACAGGTCATCCAACAGCACGACCAGTGCCGTCTCTGTACCACAGTGCGGCCTGAAGCCCGACTGAAACGGGTCCAGAGCGTTGGTTTCGTCCAAGAGCGCCTGGAGCTGATCTGCCACCACCCTCTCAACCACCTTGGCGACGGGTCTATAATTTCCAATGTTGCCCGCTGCCAAATTTGTTTTCTTCCTAATGGGCCTAATGAGTGTCTCCTGGAGAGATCCATTAATTATTGCAGTGGCCCATTCAGTTTTCAGCCAGTTTAAGAGAAGGAAAACTGTGACTTCAAACCCCCACTGAGGTGCCACCATCGCCGTCCATGCCATGAGGGAACAGGCCGGGTAGGTGTGACTCGTTCAGCCCTGGAAGGCAGCCCATCTAAGAGAAGGAAAACTCTGATTTCAAACCTCCACTGGCTTATGGCTATATCCACTGATGGAAAAGGCTTCAGGAGTTAACCTCGACGCAAAATCCGGAGATGGAGTACCGGAGGCAGTTCACATCATTCTGTCAACTCCTGCAACATTGCTGAAACCAGTTGTATTGGCTCTTGCCTTTCCATTGGACTATTTCAGTGACATGGAAAGGGGAGATTTGATTGTTGAGTAACAGCCTGTCCTCCATATTATTTTACCCAGGCTTTGTGCTCTGGAGAGGACGCTCCAGCTTTGGGTACAGCGTCAAAACACTAGACACTGTTCCAAGTCCTCCATACAGAGCACGCTACCATAGTCTCTTGAGACTGAAGGATGTCTATGATGATGATACTTCCTTCATCATTTAGTAAGACTACACCCCTGTAACTATAAAAATTACTGGACTACAAAAGGAGTGAGTAACAAAAACAACTGCAAATTTCTATAAGTCTTTAAGATGCCACAGTACCTTTGTTTTTTTTGTTTTTTTGTATTTGTTACACATAAAATACAAAAAAAGGAGTGAAGTTATTAACTTACAACCTTGGTGCAATATAATTGTAAACTGTTACCAGAAAAAAAGAAGTAATTCTAAGCCAATAGTTGGTTGTAACTAGTTGCTTCCAAGCACTGTTTAGTCCTCACATGCTCTTTTTAATGACAGAAGAGGCCAAATTTGTTCCACCTTAAGGACTGAGTTGTGCAGACCTTGCCAGAATTTTCCTAATATCTAGATGATGTTCTTTTTATCTTACTGTATCTCAGGTTTTCGCTGCCCCCTTCTCCCATTCCTACGCTATTTTATCCCTCCTGAAACCCTTGGTTTATTTCTTGTGGTAGTTTGTACTGTGATGGAGGGGTGGAATTTAACACTGTGGCACTATCATGATCATTTTAGTGCTAATGCACCATGAGAATCAGAAACTAAACCGTAAGAACAGATTCTTACAGTTCCTGACACAAACACCCATTTTTGCCACCCCATGAAACATTTCTGTTTCCCTTTCTCACTCCAATTGCATCTCTCTCTTCTCTCTCTCTCTCTCTCCCTCTCCCCCTCTCTTTCTTTAAGCAAGCCTCAGTGCCAGATGTAGATATGCCACTAGAGATAAGACGACAAAATTGATGTAGAGAGATTTGGAAAGAAAAAGTACACAGGAGGAGAGAGATATCTGCAATTTACCACCAATCTATTTTCACAGCAGAAAATAGTTGAATAGCTTCATCTGCTGGCTGCTGAAACACCTCTAACTGTTAGGACCTGAGTCCTGCCTGGTACAATCCATGATCTCCTGTAACAAAGCAAAAAAAAGTGGAGGTGAAACAAGAGGGGAAAAAAATCTTGCAAGAGCTTTTAGCTGAAAGTGAAAAGGCGACATGCGCACCTGTATATTACACAGTTAATTCTGTTGGCAGTTCAGCCCTAAATTCTCCAGCATAGTCTGTCCTTCCCCAGACTAACTATAGAAATACACATAAGCCTTACTAGCATGTTTGTAGAGTCATTCATTACTTTATATGGCACAAATTTCCACCAAAATAAAACATTACCCAGGAATACATTGCGGGGAATAATCAGATTCAGAATATATGATAGAGCTGGAGCTGAAATGCATCAAAATTGCCTTGGGGAGCAATTTCATCCAAATAATACTTCAGATTTAGCCTAAGAGAATTGACTGATTTTGATGATGCTTGGGGATGTTAGTTCCTATGGCTATACTATAATTGGTACATAAATCTGAAGAGAGTTTAAACTTGATGTAGAGTGGGTAATTGGGATAAGGTATCAAAAAAAACCCCCTGCATGTTTCCATCTTCATGGAATTATATGCTGAGTTTTATAAGAGATTAAGAAGGCCTTTGTATAATGAAAACAATGGGTTTGAGACGACCACAGTGCACTTTCCCTCTTTCACATAACATCTCGGCCAGCTTCTTGGCCCATAATTTAAAAAAAAAAAATAGTTCTGCCTCTTCCTCCCCCCCGCCGTCCAATACTCCCAAATATGGCACCAAAAGTATAACACCTTATTGAAGATTATGGTTTTCTATTATTTAGTAATGTAGTTGCTTGGTAACAAAATAATATGCTATGCATAGAAAACAAGAAAGAAAGAAAAATGCTTATTAGGAAACAGAGGCTCTTGAATGAAGAATTAAATACTTAAAGAACAGCAGGGGGGAAAGTGAGTCACAATGCATAGAAGCAGGAGACCTGAGAAGGAACCTCATGTCATTTAATATCATTGACAAGAAGAGCTTGTGTGTTTAAACCTGTCTTTTAGAAGCAATTGCTTTGGAAGATCTTAAAATACATTATATTTATAAGAAAGTGTGACGGCAAGAGGAGAAGGGGACAACAGATGATGAGATGATTGGATGGTGTCATCGAAGCTACCAACATGAATTTGACCAAAATCTGGGAGGCAGTGGAAGACAGAAGGGCCTGGCGTGCTCTGGTCCATGGGGTCACAAAGAGTCGGATACGACTTATCGACTAAACAACAACAAATAAATTATACTGTCCAAGGTAAAAGTATATGGACCTCTAATAAAAGTTATATACTGACACAGTTTTTGCACTGCCAGAGCCTGCTTTCCATGGTCTCATGAGATAAATGCATATTAAAAAAGGAGAACATACAACTTAGCAGAGGCTGTGCAAATAATGTAAAAAAGATGAGAAGTTAAGGTGCCTGGCTAGGTATCATCAGCTTGCTTTATTTTCATTGAGTAAGAGTGGAGAAATGAATGCACAGGATTACATTTTGTGCTAGGAAGTAATGTACAGCAGCAGTTTGTAGGCTCTGCCAACCTGCCCCTTTCTTCCAAACCAGTATTATTCCAAAATACTAAGACAGCAATTTAACTATCTGAAAGTATCCCCATACATTGCATATATTTAAACAAAAGTGTCTGAGAATGAAAAGGAGAGAGGACAGAAAAAAGTAGAGTATGATGCAAGTGTAGATCATAGGACATGCAGTCATCATGCTGAACTCCCCTAAAATAAAAAGGGGGTTAGGAGACCCATACTAAATATGACCTGCAGTTATACAGATAGACAATGTTATATATTCAATGTTTTTTTTATTTAAAAAAAACAGAGAATGGAGCCATGAACTACAGTGGACCCTCTACTTACAGAATTAATCCATATTGGAATGGTGGCTGCAGGTCAAAAAGTCTGTAGGTCGAGTCTCCATTGACCTACAATGCATTGAAAACCGATTAATGCCGTAACCGGCCGTTTTTTTCCTATTTTTGTTCCATTTTGATTTTTTTCTGGTCTGTAGGTCGATTCTCCGGCTGCAAGTCGAACCTAAATTTTGCGGCCAGAGAAATCTGTAACTCGAAAAGTCTTTATTAAGTCAAGTCGTCTGTAAGTCGAGGGTCCACTGTACCATGTGTAAGTGGAACAATATATAGCTACCATCATATCTCTATTTTGCCTTGTATTATCTTTCTGCTGATCTAATACATACAGTTCCTGGCATCCCATCTCTTCCATTACTGAGCTTATATCATTTAAATAAGGCTTTTTTGTAGTTTGTATTGTTTTACTGTTTCTTTTCTGCATCCCCTTGTTATCTTTTTCATCATGTTTCTGTATAGGTAGTTGAGGCTGAATGCCTGTTTCCCAGCACTTGATTTATTCCTCTCCCTTGCCACATCCCTCCCTTCCTTATCTGATAGGGAAGGAAAGAATGCTGGCATTCAAATCAGTTGCATCAACCTCTGTTTCTTCCAAACATGCAATTGCTACTCTTACATAGGAAGACTGGAAGCTACCTTTTGCTGGGTTAAACTACTGATCTGTGCAGCCCAGTATTGTACTGACTGGCAAACTGTCAGTGTTTTAGAGAGGTCTTTCTGTCAACTCTTTCCTAGTCCTTCCTAAAGATGACAAGAATTGGGATCCTCTTCATACATGGCATACACTCTACCACTGAGCTCTGGCCCTTCCTCATGTCTTTTTAGATACAGAGTATACAGAAGTGCAGTAGTTTACTGTAGTTTACTTTACAGTAGCCTTCTTCTGGGATCGTGGAGTTTGCCCAAGACCACACAGACATGCTTTTCTCTTACAAGGCACAGCCGAGAACTGAACTCGTGACCTCAGCCAGATGCTCCAGTTCATTAAGCTATCAAACCAGCACACATCTACATATTGTTATGGCACTGTTGTGCAAAATCTGTACTGAAACCCATACCAATAATGGCAGATTATGAGTTATTTTAAAATCTAAAATGAGTAAGATGTTGACTTTTTGGTGAAAGATGATTTGTATTCCTGCACTGAACAGGGGTTGGACTTGATGGCCTTATAGACCCCTTCCAACTTCATGATTCTATGATTTTATGATTGATTTAATACCCTGCCCATCTAGACCAAAGTCTACTCTGGGTAGCTAACAACGCATTTATAAAAACAGTAACAGTATAAGAGAAAACAACAACATAATATGAGACCAAATTGAAAATATTTTTGCTTTCCATGTACATTTCATTCAACAACATTCAATACTGTGATTCCATATGACATCATCACAATATCTGTCATGCAAGATATAATTCTCAACCCAACTGCAGTTGCAAATTAGAGTGTAACAAGATGATGGTGATCCAGGCCTCTAGATCTCCTCTGCAGTAAAGGCAAAATGGATTTCAAAAGATTATTTGTTTTGTGTCTGTTTTTCTATTAGTCAGCACAGAACAGGTACTGGAAGGGACCATTCCACACAGCTCTGCGTGTAACTAGTTGATAAAATAGTGAATGTAGAGGCAAAGGCGAGGAAGTGGAGAGAGTTGGTAGTTTTAAATTTCTGGGCACTTACATCTCAGAGGACCTCTCATGGACTATAAATGTCAATATTCTGGTGAAGAAGGAAGAGAAGAGGCTGTATTTCCTGAGAATGTTCAGGAAGTTAAAGTTATCTCAGCATTTACTTCTGTCCTACTATTGTAGCACCATTGAGAGTGTCCTAATCTATGGCATTCTGACATGGTTTGGGCGTAGCTCTGTAGCAGACAAAAAAGCTCTACAGAGAACCATTAAAGTTGCCCAGAATATCATTGGGTTCCAGCTACCAACCCTGGATGACATCTGCACATCCCACTGTCTGAGGAAGTCACACAACATCCTGAGAGACTCTTCCCATCCTGCTTACAACTTTTTTGAACTGTTGCCGTCTGCTAGAAGATATAGAACAATTAAGACTCGGACCACACTTTTCTAAATAGTTTTTATCACCAAGTTATAACTGCACTGAATAATGAGCCTAAAGACCACTAGTAGTGAATAGTTGGACAGTGTTACTTAGCCTGCGGTGTAAATGTTTGTACTCTTAGTAGAGTTTTTTCAGTGGATGGGAATGTTTGGGGAAGTTTTATATGTGTGCATGTGGGTCTGGTCTCTGGGTGCCTGTGTGAATTTCGTTGTATGGGTATACCATGTATATACTTACAATGACAATAAATTATTTTTTAAAAAAGGATAGTATCTCTAGGCATGGATAGTATCTCTAGGCATTTCAGTGGATGGGAATGTTTGGGGAATTTTTATGTGTGTGCATGTGGGTCTGGTCTCTGGGTGCCTGTGTGAATTTCGTTGTATGGGTATACCATGTATATACTTACAATGACAATAAATTATTTTTTAAAAAAGGATAGTATCTCTAGGCATGGAAAATACGCCTTCTAACTTGTTTTCAGACACCTGCTTTTAGAAGCCATCCTACACACAGCTAGATATAGAAATGTTATATCTGAATGGTTCTTCATGACCTTGACTTCCTAAATATATAAAGTACTTACTTATTTTTGGCATAACTCTTCTCAACCAGCTTTTCCCAACTGGTGCCATTCAGATATTTTTGCCTTTAAAAAGTCTCCCATCACTCCAGCCACTACTGACAATGGCCAGGAATTTGGGGAGTTGTAGTTTAAAACACCTGGAGTCCAAAAAGTCAGATGAAACCTCTTTTAAATGTACATTCTCAGCATATACATTAATTACTATGTTCTAATCTGTTCAAAGGCACATTGCCTGCTAGTTTTCAATCTGGATTCTGGGGGTTTATCGCTAGATCAGGGATAATGGATCACCACCCAAAGGAAATATATTAATGGTTAAGTACTCTTAAAATACACGGATATATTTTAACTGTTTTGCTGGTGAGAAAAACTAGTGCTAACTGAATAATCTTGTGCTTATACTTTGAGATAATGCAGGGCATAATAAATACGATCACAAAGAAACTGAAGTGTAAACTCAAGCACCCAATGT